TACGTACGTAGTTCAATATTAAAAGTAAAAGAATAATTTTCTACCTCTTTTCTGCCTACGTGGCACTATCAACCAGATAGCTTGAAAAAATTGTCAGCACGCGTTGGGCCCAGAAGATAGTGCCACATAGGCCGAAAAGGGGTAGAAAATTATTTATAAAATAAGTTCGGGGGTAATAGGACCTTAGTATAGTATAAGTGTGTCTCTGAGATTTCGGACATAGGTAAGGGGTACTTATGCGTTTCCCTTATTAAAATGAAAAACTACACTATTACATAAAAAAAAACTACTATTAGAAAAAACAACAAACAAATACTGGTGTAATAACATATTACTGTATATACTTTAAAACACTTGGAGCAAAAAAAAAAAAAATTAAAAAAAAAAGTTATCATAAGATCTAATATGCACGGGCTACCTAAGTAAATTAGCGCAATAAGTTAGGTGGTTGTATTATATTATTGTTACATTTAAATATTGATTATGGGTATATTGTTTTAATCATCATGTAATCACATATATTTTTTAAGAAAATATATCAATATAATTAAGCAATCTGTTAATTAAACATATCAAGAATAAGATCTTATGTCTATATCAAAATTATTGTCTTTAATTGCACATAACTAAGGCTTTGCTTGCAAAATTGTTATATATATATGCAGTTTCTTTTGGCAAATTAAGTCTGTAAGCAAAAAATTAAAAGATCTTAAATTCCTCAATGGCACGATTTTTCCCCATGAAGGGTGGTGAAGGTGTATCTAGCTACACTAAAAACTCCTTATTACAGGTAATATATAGTTTGTAGCTATATATATATATTCATTAAGGAGATTTTTAAAATTTTAAAGTTAAATTATTTCTTAATATATAATTGTATCATTCTTTTTGGAGGAAAAATGAGAAAAAAAAAATTAAGACATTTATGAATTCCATTCAGTTTTTCTTATTTGAACGAACATCTCAAAATTCCAGTTTTCATTTTCAGCTACATTATATGATCTGCAAATCGGTCAAGACTCTCTAGTTTTGACCGTTTCTTTATAGTACCAGTTGTTGCTTTATTATTAGCCTCACGCTTCGACTTTGAACATAATAGACTAAAATCAAGATCGATTTTCAAATTAAACAGAAAAGTATGCCACAAAAATTGAGACACATGAAGTAATTATTTTGAGCTATATTTGGTGTCCAAACTTGCCTATGTTACATAAATTTGTGCTGAACTTAGGTAGAATAATGTGTCTAAATTCTTGTAATGCAAGAAGTAGAAGAGCAAAATATGGAGCATATTAATCACCTATAGACTTGAGTGAATTGAACTGTGTATCGAAAAATTATATTATGTATAAAAGTCATCAAGTATTACTTCTTGCAATGGTACATAAATTTTTATTTTATTTTATTTGTAGAGAAATGCTGCAGATAATGCAAAAGGGATGATCAGAGAGGCAATTATTGAAAATTTTGATATACAAACCAAAACATTTCTTATTGTAGACCTGGGATGTTCAGTTGGACCAAACACATTTTTTGCAATGCAAAATATTGTAGAGGCCATAAAAGATAAATACCATTCTCAATCTGAAATCGAATTTCAAGTTTTCTTCAACGATCATATCACGAATGATTTCAATATCTTATTCAAATCACTATTTTCCGATCAGAAGCCATATTTTGCAGCTGCAATTCCCGGTTCTTTCTATGGACGATTGTTCCCCTCGTGCTCTCTTCATATCGCGTATTCTTGTTATGCGTTACAATGGTTGTCCCAAATGCCCAAAGATATGAAGAATAAAAGAAGAATTCATTATGATGGTGCTTCTATTGAAGTATGGAATGCTTATGTTGCTCAATTTCACAAAGATATGGAAGTATTCTTGAGTGCAAGGGCAGAGGAAATTGTTCCTGGAGGCTTAATTGTTCTTGTTTTGCCAGCTATTCCAAGTGAAATACAGTACTCCAAAATTGGATATAGGATATTCACATTTCTTGAGTCTAGTCTTATTGATATGGTCAATGAGGTCAGCCACTCATAACCTTATACTCTCTCTGTTTCAGTTTATTTATATCCTAATTCCTTTTTAGTCTGTTTTTCAAAGAGAGAAAAATGTTATGTTTCTTTTTCTAAATTTAGTAATTTTGTAATTATGACGTCGATCTCACATGACAAGACTATAAGTTGACATATAGGATGCTCAAATTTCTTGAGTCTATTCTTATTGATATGGTCAATGAGGTGAGCGACTCACAACCTTATACTCTCTCTCTCTCTCTTTCAACTTATGTGCCATCTTATTTTCATTTGTTCTTTTGTCTTTAAATAAAAAGGCATCGTCTAAATCTAGTTAACTCTTCTATTATAACATTTTACAAGGCATGGTTAAGATCACAATATGAAATTTTGGTATATTTATGTATATTTTTAGTTTAAAATTGTAAGATTCAAAAGTCTATGTTACTTTCTTAAACTCTTATGTTGTAGTCAAGGTAAGACACTTTAACGAAAGAACTAGAGTATATGTTAAATATCTTGGATCTTGACTTCAAATCTCATATCCTGAATTTCTTGGATCTTCTATTCAATTGCGGAGTCAAAACTCCTAATAAGTGAATTCAAAAAATTGCAAATTCGATAAGGGGATTCGATTGAACCCCACATTTAGCTTTGTCACTACCTCTATTCCATTTTATGTGACAAGTTTTCTTTTTCATACAGGGAATTGTAGAAGAATATCTGGTTGACTCATTCAATTTTCCAGTATATTTTCCCTCTACTGAAGACATGACTAAAGTGGTAGAGAAAAATGGATGTTTTAGCATTGAAAGAATGGAGCTAACAAATCCCCAGTCAGGCATTGATGCAAATAGTTTCATCAATCACATAAGAGCTGGTTTTGAAGAAATGTTCACCATACATTTTGGAAGAAAAATTGCAGATGAAATGTTTGAGAGGACTTTGGAAAAAATCGAAGAGATTTCTGCATGGTTGGAAGATGAATATTGTCACGCCCCGAGCCTACACCCTGGGCGGG